AGATGTTAGCGTTAGATTTAAACGAGGAATATCAAATTTTTTAGAAAAATTTTTAGCAAAGAAACAAAATGACAAAAACATATACGAAGAGATAAAGAGAGAGAGAGAGAGTTATATTGATCACTCATCATTTATTATAATTAGATTCTTCGTGATCTTTGGGAAGATATGGGGGCGGAAAACAGAAGGAATCGGCGCTGCTATTTCGATGGGGGTCGATAGGAGCAGCGTTTTAATTGCCGTTCTTTGCTGAGGTTTTTATCGGGGGCGGAATCTTCTGAGGGGTCTTCTAATGCAATTCTCCTTGAGCTGCTCCAGGGCCGGTAACAAGACGCGAGCAATTACCGTCGCGTTTTATCGTTTATAAACTCTAAACTCGAGGGCCGAGCTTTCGAGGGGACATGAGACAAGGTCGAAACAGCCAAAGATCCGTATCGATTCTGTATACTATGGCGTCGTCGTGGTTGAAAGCAACCGAAGGAAGTATAAAGGAGCTATATAAGTAGTAAAAGGAGAAAGAGAACGAGAAAGAAAGAGGAACGTGGGGTCTGATAAGAAGTCACACTTACTTGTTGCTACCATTTATAGCGTCTACAGTCGTTAGGATTGAATCGCTCGACGTACACGCCTCTTTATAGTTCGTACTATGTTAATGTTATCTACTAATTTGATCGATTGCCTCTAAGTAGGGGGTTAAAAGATCAATCGGTAAATTTAAAACGTCAAATTCGGGGTAAAGTAACCGTACAGTGAAAATTCATAGTACTAATTTTTTAACACTGAAAATTAATTGACTTTCATATACAAGATAATTTCAACATAGATTGGTTTACTAATTAACTTTTTTTTTCATTTAAACGTCATTAAAAGACAACTTTGAAAGGGTGTTTTATCGCGAAAATAAAGTGAAAAGTTTACCGACCTTGATAAAAATGTTTTTCCAAAGAAAATTTTAATATTGATTAAAATAAGGCTATTTGTATATGAAGCCTGGGGTAATGTTTAAAGAAAAGTAAAAGAGTAGACGCTATTTTCTGTAGCATGTATGCTAGTTTGTGTTTACTAAGTGCTTATTCGAAAACTCATAATTTATAATATTCACTCTTAAAAAAGCGTTTTTCTTACAAATAACTTCGATTTGTTAACCTACATTTGAATTACTCTTTACAGAGTAGATAGACTTTCTATTTGGCGTTGAACACAATGGCTATCGCGGTGTGTCTTTTACAGCGCCATCCGCGATAACCTTGACACGACCAAGTACAATAACCCGTTTCGCACGCCGCGGCGTTCAGCCAGCCAACATTAAAATGATCAGGATCCATCCTGCTGCGTATTCGAGAACAGCCGACACCCAGCAGGAAATGGAAACGAACCGTGTCTTCTTCTTTTCTCCGATGGCTCCAGTGTTTTTGCAAAGCGAAAATTCTATCGACCATTGTTCGCGGTCGAGGGAGAAAACACGAGAATACGGCTTCTTCTGCCTACGCGGGATATGTTTGAAACATTAATGCAAACAAAGTTCACTAACTCGCCAATATTCACGTTGTAGAGTCAGCCGACGGGCTAATTGTCCAGACAAAATACGTTTCGTTGTTGTGTTTCAAGTGCCTCAAGAAGTTGTATATTGAAATTCACGCCGACGCTATGAAGCGCGATGCAAAGCGACAAAAATGATAATTATACGTTCCAGAGACGCGCAACAATGCTCTCTTTGATGAGCGGCGTAATGATGGACTTTGTTCCGGAACCATGAGTATTAACTGAGTTGTATCAACTTTAACGACTTATAGAAAACGAAAAATGTTTGAAATCAGTAAGAACATGATATATTCGATGTTTTAAATATTAACTATTAAAAGATAGCACATCATAAACTAAAAGGTCAACTCAGAAATGCCAAGAAAAATCGTAGTGAAACAACAAATTTTTATTGATTCTCAAAACGCTTGCAAAAGTGTTAATGTTAATTTTCACAAATTTTTAAAGTGATAATATTTATATTACTGTTATATTTTAAATGAGCATAAACGTGTTTTAGTTTTCTATACTGCTTGTATTTGAAAGAACAAATGACACAGTATAATGCGCGGTACCGGTGAACTACTATTTCAAGTCTGACAGTTTAAAAGCGAACCGGCGTAAGCTGATACGGTATTCGCGCTCTCAGTTCACGATCGCATCTCATCGGGGAAAACGGTAAATGTCCATTTGCATATACGACGCTCAAAAGGTTCTTTCTCCTCTCAGTGAGTAGAAGAAGTTGACGGCCGCGCGAAACTAGGAAGAGGTTTCGGAGCGAAGCTTTTCAGCCGCGGAAATCGCTTGGGAATAATTAATTGGTGGAGCGGAACCGATCGCAGGCGACATAAATCGCGAACGAACGGTGTGTGCCCCCTCGATTAATTGCTATCAGATGCGTCGGTCCATTAATTGAATCCTGCTGAGGAATGTTTCATGCGCGCCGGATCCAACTGTTTTATGATTTTTATAACATTATGTAACTGATTTGCTTTTTTCCAATATATGTTGATAGAAAGTTCGCTTGATTCTCATAATTATTACACAGAGAGAAATATATTTTTGAACGAAGATTATTACTCTTCTCAAGCTTATCATATTCTTGTATATCCACAAGGTCATTTTGTTGAGTGAAAAAAAACCACATATTTTCAAAGCAAGTATACAAATATTCTTGATTCTCAAGAAAACGAATTCTTAGTGAAAGTAAATCAATAATCTTGAAAAAGAGTATCTTAGTGTTGCGTCAACAATCCCATTTTCGTATCGAGAATAGATTTCGTAAGTCAAGAATAACGTATCTTTCTTTTTAGAAAAACTTATTCATGTAACAACAATCTTGTATAATTCTTCATTTGAGTATTACAAATTATTGACGCAAAAATTAATTTTTGATACAAAAAATTGATATTCTTCGATGGTAAGCATATGACATGCTTCATTCGATAATATTTCTATTCTTAAAACAAAAAAATATTTTTGTTTTAAGAGTATCTTATACTTGTTTCTAAGAAATACATTCAAGAATAAATTTTTTTTGAGAGCCAAGAATAATTTCCCTCAGTGTACACTAGTAATCTTTAAATTAACTGAAATTGTTTAATATGTTTAATAAATATATCAAATTAATATTAATGACAGGAGGAACATCTAAAAACAAACTAAATGTGATTTTTTTTATATCCTAAGTTTTGATAACACCTTGATTCATAGGGTGCAGAAAAAAAGGATTCGAATTCGGAAGCAAAAACATTACTTTGACGTGAGGTTCATAGTCGATAAGGTTAGTTGCTGAATGTCCAACTGCATTGTTAATAATTAACATCACTTGACATACGATGTTTTTAGAGGAACCAATCTTCAAATAAAGAAGCAATAACCCAAGCTTTTCCGTTGGACTTCCAAATTAGTAGCAAGCATAAGTATTAACCGATCTTTCGCCGTTTTAAATCCTGTAAATCACAGCTAGATCAAATATGATCTGTGCGTTATAGTTGGTTGTAGCCCCCTTTGAATACCCAATAAAAAATAACGGACAAGTTAGCAATTACAGCTCCATCTTGGTTGAATAGTGGTGCAGAAGAACGAGTGCGACAGGAAATTGTTGAAGTGAGATAAGCGATCTCGTGACGTCGACGATCGTAGGTACAGTGCGCGCCAAAAATTTAGTACATACATCGTAATATTATAGCTTAACAAAAATACGCAATAACATAAACTTAAGCCGCTTGAAAATTATAAGCTTTTTATATTAACTCTATAGTAATTTTAGCGGGCGTAAATTTGTTATAATTGTTTATTTATGTTTTTATTATGTTGTAAAGGGAATTTCCGTTAAACATAAACATACGTAAAGAAATCACTTTTCAAGGAATAGATCTGGATGGTAAGGAGGTAAAACGAAGCACGTCTTGTTTGTCTAGAACGAATGTAAATATGTTTCATCCATATATATATAAAAGGCCGTATCGCATCTACATTGTTGTACATGCTTCAAGAAAATACAACGCAAATTTGTGATGTCATTCCCTTCATCAATGGCTTCTTAAATAAGACGATGGAAGACGAAATCAAATGATTTCGTTTTTCGTCAGCAATATTCGTTACTTTATTTGACAATATCTTCAAATAAATTTATCTATACGTGGTGATACAAGTCACCACGTATAGATAAATACCCTTTCAGTAGTTTTCAATATGACGATTTTAAATAAATTTAGCCCCTTTCAATTTGATGTACTTTCGAACAGTTGGCAAACTTTATTGGTTAATTAGTTTTTATGATATTAATTAATAAAAAGAGAAATCTAAGAGGTGGGGCGTCTTTTAAAAGTTCCGCCCGCCGCATTTTCCGCAATATTTATTAATTAATATCATAAAAACTAGTTAACTAATATTTGATTGACTACTAATTAATCAGTATTTGATAGTGAGGTATCGTTGGATTTGTATTTTTTATCTCTTTTATAATATGATATAATATATAGCATGTTCCATTTAAAAAAAACACAGTTCACAGATTTTCCGGAAAAACTAAGTGATAAAAATCGCAAAAAATAAAAATCGACGTGTTTCGGCTGATGACGATATCTCGAACCGTTTTCAAACTTATGACGTGTACTGTATAATAATAGTATATTCGAAAACTTCCACATCGCTGCATAAACTGTCAAATCTTCGAAAAATCATGCTTATTTCATTCCCGTGATAGCTAAGTGAACTTCGAGGTTTCACTTCTTTAGATGAGAATCGTCAATGTAGATATACGAAAATGCTTGGTGTATTTTTATTGATTAAATAACTTTTCAACAAGGTGGCTTTTATTGTTAACTAAATCTAGCGTTTTGGTTGTTTTGTTACATTATTTGATTAATCATTCATTAATCATTCTATGCTACCAGGAAAACTTTCTAAGGTAAATTATTTTCAAGGTAATAAACTGCGTCTGTATTTAAACAAAAAATTTGAAAATTCTGCAATGGTTATTTATTTGTATTTATAAAATACGACCAAAAATACATTTTAATATATATTCCGCTTCATTAATTTTAACAGTAATCAATCTACCATTAAGTGGTTGAACTGGTCTAAAATTGTTGATTGCGCCAGGTTGTATACCATAAAGCCCTCTTAATGCCCTTAACCTAACTGTTGAAATGGGTACAGGTTTTCCCGATACGATCCAAGTAACAGATTCGGAGCATGGAGGTGTTGTTAAAGAACCCGAATAAGTGTAATAATTACTGTCAAAAGGTGGTAATATGTCAGTAAGCGCTGGAAAGCCAGTTATGTCGGATTCGGTTGTGTTAGTGTCGGACATGTATACAAATTGTTTCGTGAGCAAATTCCAACTCTTGCTTTTGGTAATCCATTGGGGATAATAAACGTAAGCAATTACTAACAAACCATCTGATTGATTTATGGCGTTTTTAAAAGAACCGTATTTGAAATTATAATGTACGGCGTGAGTTTCTAATGCATAAACTTTGCTTTTTATTGTGTGTTCACTACCAACTGAATTATTACTGCCCCAATGAAAATGAATTTGTTCAAGAACGTAGGTATCTTGCAGTGGTCCTCCGGTTATCGTTACTTGTTCCCCATATTCGTAGGTTGGTTTTATTTCAACTAAAAATTTGGTTTTAATTATCAGGCCATTAAATATACTAAACTAAGATACCTCCATGATCAGTAACAGAAACTTTGACGTTATTTGGTTTTTTAGTAAACGTTTTCGATCTTCGAAAATTTCCATAGTTGTTGATTCTGAGAGCATCGCAGATGCTTGGTAAATTTATTGGAGATTGTCGATTTCCTCCACATTGTGGATATTTATTTGGCCAATCTTTGGGACCTATTGCAATTTATTAGAACAAACTAAAATAATATAAAAAAAATCGAAAAATAATAAATTACCTCCATCGTCAACATAAATATTTCCATGACAGATTACAAGTTGTATGGGCAGAAATGTAACAATATAAACGAAAATTAAGAAATTATTTGTGCACACCATTTCTTGTGTTACATATACTTTCATTAGACAGAAAATAGAGTTGCTTCGGTTTAAATATGCGCAACTTTATGTAGTCTCGTAAAGATAACCATTAAGTATATAATATTAATATGCATTCCAGTAATTAAGGAAAAACACCAAAAAGATATTACTTATATCGAGAATTTTTACGGTTATGACTTTACAGGGGGCGGATTAAAGGATATTTTCAAAAACGTGAAATGTAAAAAGTTAATGACATCTTATCTTAAATTCAGTTTTTCTGATAAAAATTGTTTTTGTTGTACAAATGGATTAATTAAAAAAAGTACTTTTTAACAAATTCGAATTGTAATATAAGTACGAAGGCTTCCACGGTTGGTGTTAATTAAACTAACACTAGCACTATCATTAGACCTAGAACTAAAAACGTTCGGGTTAAGTCGTGCGTTTTTGAAAAAAATGTTTAACGTTCCCGATGCCATGTTACAATCTTCTTCAGAAACAACTTAGAACTTCTTTCTATGTTCTATGTATTACTTGTAATGAAGAATATACAGTATCGGTAAATCAAGAAATAAAAAATGTAAAACCATAAGGGTATGGTTTTACATTTTGAAAATCTCTTGTAATTCCATTGAAATAATTACTTTTTGCCTATAAAATAAAATTGATATTATTTTAAAATTTCGTTAAATTCCACTACATTTTGTGTAGTAACCCAATGAGTAAACAGGCAAATCAATCGAAAGCTCTTTAAAAAAAATACAAACATAAGGTGATGCAAAAGTCTGAATAACTCCGGTTTTTTTGTGTGCAGATATCGAAAATACGATACAGGACGAAGTTGTTGGTAACAAGTTGTTATAAATCATCTACTTGATATCGACTATTTTTTATTTCTTTCTTTCAGTAATCAACAATAATAGCCCAATACTATTCAGGAACGAGTGGAAACGATTCTTACTATTGCAGCAGGCAAGAAACCTGAAACGATAAGTTGTAAAGAACCATTATAGACATTCAAGCATTGGTCATTTACTAGTATGATTCAAGACAACAGATAATATATAAAATAAATGGCGGTCAAGCTGGCGATGTACATCAACACTTTTAAACTCAGTTAGCGTGCTAGCAAGAAAACAACAGAGAAATACACGTACGCAGAAGTAATGGGAATCGTATTCGGATGTTCTATAAACAAAATAGAAATCAATTTCAACAATTCTTCCTGTAGTTTTTAGTGGTGTAATTGAAGGACATGGCAGTTCAAGTCATTATTTTATTTTAGTTATGCTATGCCGCGTAAATTTGGAGTAAAATTTTGTTGCATAGATAAAAGCGAAAATATAACCTTCTATTCCAAATGGTTAGCTTATCTCCAATCAATAAGTCAATCACGAATGCCAATGTTAATAAAAAAAATATTATAATACTATCACACTATTTTGATTTAGACTTAATGCAGTATATACACTGTGTACATAAAGTAAGGAATAAATTCGATAAAAATTCAGGGAATATTCTTCCAGAAAAATGCTTAGAGATCTATGTTATTTTTTTAACGCGCATTTTTTGATATAAAATTGAAATGTGCAGGTGTCCAAAATTGAGATACGATCTCTAAATTAACACTTTAAAATAGTAGAACCCCCATTTTTTGTTGTATTTATGGATTCTACTTAAAATTCTGAGTATTTTTTATGTTGCACACCCTATGTCGATATTCAGCTGTTTCCCAGAAAAGAGCTGTCAAAAATTACTTTACTATTTTATTTCAAGTAAAAGATAACATTGTTTTGTGTCCCACAGTTTTAAGATGTCATCATAAAAAATAATCCAAAGGATAGAGATCGAGGGATCTTAGTAGCCATTCAATTGATCCACGCTTCCAATCCATCTATTACGAAATGCTACTTTATTTAGGTATTGCCTAACCTGAACTGCATGATGTGGTGGTGCACCATCTTGTATAAACCTAAAACTTTCGTCATTAGCACGTATTGGCACTGGGACATGAATTTCTTAAATTGGGGATTGTTGTAAGAAATCAAGATATGTAGACCGTTGAGTGAGTTCAAAAAAGTAATTGAGTAATTGATTGATTGTTGATAATTTCTGCCCTAACGTTATTTTTTCAGGATACTGGGTATATTATGTTCGCATTCATCCGGGATTTTCTTTTGTCCAATAGCATACAATGTGTATTAAACGCCATTTTTTCATGGAAAATACTCAAATTTTGACGTAAAATCGATAGATGCAACAAAAATGGAGGTTGCTATTTAAAAATGTCAACTTAGGGATCAACATATATATATTTCAATTTTATCTCAAAAAATGCGCATTAACAAAAATAACATAGATGACCAAGCATTTTTCTGGAAGAATATTCCCCGAATTTTTGTCGATTTATTCCTTATTTTATGTACACAGTGCATATTAAACTTGAGAAATTTTTTAAATATCACTTCTTTTTCCAGATATAAGTAAAAATATAATTTTTACCCCAACTTTCAACACTTACACCTGACCAGGGGCTTTGGCCACACATATAAAGAAATAGTCAGCCGTACTTTTCATCGAAATCAGTGTGGCATACCTCTGGAACATCCTGGTAAAATTAGAATAGGGAAATCAAACAAAAATACATACGTCAACCAGATCAAACATTTTTCATATATTTCTTTCATAAACATCTCTTCCCTTAAACCCACAAAGTTCGGTCACAACAACATATAGACTCTCGATACAGAATAGTGGGAGATGGTTTATTGAGATATTTAATTGGTTTTGTAAATATAGTTAATATGTTGATATGCTGTTTGCGATCACGATAACTAGACAACATCGTAGCGTCTATATCAAGTATATAATATATGAATTCTCTTTCATGTACATCTGAATTTTCTTCGTTAATTTAGCAATAACAATTCAATGAAATGGTATCATATAATCTAACTTTTAGCATTAAGTTTAGGTAATGTTTATTCGACGAAAGTGTCGAGTATTTATACAAGACTAGATAAAATGGTATAAAAACATAGTGAAAATTTAAGCATGCTCCAATGGTTATTCATTGTCAACAGATACGGTGTTATTCTATTTAGGTATATCCTCCATTTCACATTTTCACAATGTAGATTTCTAATATTTTATGATCTCCATTTTATCGTAAAATATTAAGAAATGCAAACAGACCATAATGACAAAATCCTGATAACAAAAATAGCACTACAACAAAAATAGTATCAGAACGAAAATACCAAAACTATCTCTATGTAACATTATTTGCTAAAAACACTTTCAGGTAAAAAGAACGAAAAAAAGGTTCTTTTGTTATATGTTTCTTGAAAATAAAAAATTTACCAGGAGGGCTGATCAAGTTCTTACGCCATGCCAATAATATTAAACCTCACTAAATTTTATTACATTTTGATAGCCGTATGTTATTAACTAGGCATTTCTAGATAATCTCTTTTTTAGTTTTAAGTGTAATAAATTTGATTCTCTTTAAAAGCCATTTCTATTCACTTTATGGTAATCATTTTAACCTCAACTTCACCAAATATTTTCTTCCTATTTCCTTCTTATCAATACTATTTATCTTATCAAGCACCTTCATAAAGTTTCAAAAAAATAAGTTTTATCTTAGAAGTAGAATAATATTTTTTAAACATATGTTTAGGAAGCTTTTATACATTCCGCTTCAGAAGTAACTCCAGTCCGGTCTAATATGAAAACAGTTCGAGATGTCGTTATGAGCTAAATTGCTAAATAACATCGACTTTTTTATATTTTATCACTCTAAATATTTTAATATAAAAAATTGTTTATCGCTTTTAGTTTTTCGGAAAAATTATTCAGCTTTATTTTTTTTTATGGCACGCCCTAATTTTTCTAATAGGACTAAAAAAGATGAATACAATGATACCCCAACAAATAATAAATGATAAATAATCCTAATAAATGACTGACAAATAAAATTAACTAAAATGTGTCATTTCAGTTAATAATAATTTAAAATTAACTTTATGTTAATTGTTAATATTTATTTCGTTTTGCTTTTCAACACAAGCTGTTCTTTAACAGTGGTTATCTCAGACATGGTAAACTTTATAGCAGCTTGAAAATACAATTTGTAAAAAAGTATTATATAATCTGCGTGATTTTTAAAATATTTATGGCCAGTTTTATTTAGTCTTATTTGAAATACAACAAAACTTGCGATTTTTTAAACAACGAATGTTCTTAATCTTCCTTTGATATTCAGAAACATCTACATTTCCCAAAAACCTTTCTACCGTTAAGTTGTTGTAAAGGCCTAAAATTATTACGTGTACCAGGTTCAACCTTATACAAACTTCGAAACACTGCCATAGTTTCGGCGGAGATTTCCAGAGGTTTTTCAAAAACAATAAAAGTGGCGCTTTCGTAGTAAGGCGGAGTTGTTATAGATCCATGGTAACTAACGTAATTGTCTTGAAGAATTGGGAAAAACTCCGCAAAAGAAAACGATTTTTTAACGTTCACCTTCGCAAAATTTTTCTGTGTAAGAATTTTAATTGCAGCTGCAATAGAATCCAATGTACTTGATTGAGAACTTGTCGTTTCTTGAACAACCTTTTGTAAAAAATAAAAATTTAAAAAATTGAATTGTAAAAAAATGCTTTTGAATACCTTTACGAAATAAGTAAAAACTGCTAAACCATCTGATTTCGTTTGAGCATCAGCAAAAGATTTGTATTTAGTGTTATAAAATTCGGAGTGGATTTCCATCGGGTAAAACGTACCATTCATTGAGTGTTCACTTCCGATTGCATTGTTATCGCCCCAATGGAAATGTGCTTGATCTAAGACGTAACAAGTACCTTTTTGTATACCGGTGACTTTAATGTTACATGCATTTGCAAATTCAAGTTTGACTGCAAATAAAGTTTAGATAACCAAGAGAATATATTTAAAATAATTTTGTTTATTTACCTGTATAACTTTGTCTTGTTATTGTTATGTTTTGAGGTATTTCATAAAATGATTCGCTAAGACTAAATTGTGGAAGATTTGCCCTTAACGGGGCGTTGCATGGTAATGGTAAAGCTATTGGAGATTGGTTTAGTCCAATACAAGTTTCGTACCTTCGTAACATAGTTTTTGTGTCTACAAATTATATTTATTGTGTTATAAAAGTAAAAAAGTGTTAAATCTATTCCTGTGATAAAATCATTTCTCGTTTTTCTTAACAAAATGAAATAGAAAATAATAAAAAATGTAACAATAGTTTCTAATGTGTAACAAATGATAACAAACATTTTAAAGCATACTTATAGTATTATTAAAATGTACAAATTATGGTCAAATCTGTTATTAACAAAATGTTTCTTCAATCGTCCTTTAAATTTAGAACGTGAAATGTCGCCCCTTCTTACCTTTAGACTCTGAGGGTTCAGTTTGTATTATATTGGTGGTTTTATAATTGTGTATTGAGGAACTGCTTCTACACCAATAGTACGAATGTTTAAGTTCTGTTGGATTAGCTGGTAAATCCCAAATCTTGGAAGACCTGAAAATAGGAATTTGGTCTCTTACGTACCTGGATTCTAACCGAACACCATGATTTACGAAGTTGTCTGGAAGGAATCTAAGAGTAATCACAGGTCTAATAATGGGACATTGCCACTTACAAAAATACTTGTTTGTTTTGAGAATATACGATATAGGTCTCCTTAGAGAGTGCGGCCTACACCCAAGAACAATCATTTTGCACAACTAATTTAGACCCGCGATCAAAAATATTAAAAAGTTATAACCTTCGCTCGTCTGTCATTGACAGATTCACTTTGTCGATTAAACTGACATATGTACTTGTAATTGCTACAGTAAGTACAGCTTCTAATAAAATTAATATATTATGTATAAAATAATAAATTATCGATTTCCGGAAAGGTCGCAACTCTTAATGGTTTATGCGAAAAACATACCAGAGAAATTATGTATGATATTTCTAAGGGTTATATACCGGGTGTCCCTCAAAAGTGGCTCACCCCCATATTTTTTTAATTATTAGTGATATAAGAAAACCATTTGGAACACATAGTTAGGCCGTTATAACGGATTATTACGACATGAAATCATTCTTTTTGTACTTCCGGTTACACCGGTGAGGACTAATTTCGCTATTTTTTTAAATCTATAATTTTTTTTTCTTCAGTTGGGTAGACAGTATAATTTCACATAACTTTTACTTGAAAGAAATTTCAGGATCGCTTATAATTTTTGAAAAAAAAAATAAAATCCTTATTTTTTAACGTTTTAGTACTTTAATAATTAGTACCTTTTAATACCTTGAAAATGTATTACAACTTTTGACGCTTAGTAGCTAGGTTAATAGTACAAACTACGTTATGTCCCTCTTGTTTGCTATTCCTCGAGCAGTGATCGCTGCTAGCTTTAATTAGTGGTTCTTTTTTAATAATGGTGTAAATTAACAGTTGTATTAAATTAGTTTTAAAAGAAAAACGCTACCCAACAATTAAATTTAATTCAATTGTAAGTTCAAAAAAACTAATTTTCTAAATTTTCAAAATGCTCCCGCCTCGATTTTGATATAATTGTATCTTGCGTATTATCGATCTACCGACTCGACGTTATTCCTGCGGAGATATTTAGGTAATACAATTTCTAATTCGATTTATTTTCTAATACCTCACGAGACCTTACTGGTGTATTATACAGCTCATTTTTGATTTTGTCCCATAGAAAGAATCTAAAGGTGTGAGGTCAGGTGATCTGGGACGTTTTAACCAAAATAAAGTAAACAATCCAAATTATAATGTACAATGGACATTGTACATTGTAAGTTACTATCAGCTACAGAAAATTTAGTGTAAAAGAACAAAAAATAAAGAAAAAAATAAAAAATCAAAAATAATGAATTAAACTTAATTCGCGTTTTTCTTTTAAAACTAATTTAATACAACTGTTAATTTACACCATTATTAAAAAAGAACCACTGACTAAAGCATAGCAGTGATCACTGCTCAAAAAACAACAAATCAAGAGGGACATAACGTAGTTTATACTATTAACCTAGCTACTATGCGTCAAAAGTTGTAATACATTTTCTGAAGGTACTAAAACGTTATAAAATAACGAAAATAATTTTTTTTTCAAAAATTATAAGCGATCGTGAAAATTTTTTCAAATAAAAGTTATGTGAAATTATACTGTCAACCCAACTGAAGAAAAAAAAATTATAGATTTAAAAAAATAGCGAAATTAGTACTCACATCCGGTATAACCGGAAGTACAAAAAGAATGATTTCATGTCGTAATAATCCGTTTTAACGGTCTAACTATTCATTCCAAATGGTTTTCTTATATCACCAATAATAAAGAAAAATATGGGGGTGAGCCACTTTTAAGGGACACCCAGTATAGTATAAGTTAAGTGATTAGATAAATCATTAAGTTGTAAAAGTGGATTCTAGCAATGTTCAAAAAATTTTATTGTGTTGAATAATTTTTTATCATATTTTATTACAAATACTTTTCTCTATCTGTAAGTAAATAATACATTAAGTTAACTATAATTTAAGATAAATAGGTCTTTTCCTGGTAAAAATAAACTAGCTAATCTTTTAAAAGTATTCAAAGTCAACCTCCACTTGCACATATTTTTTCAGGAATATGTTTCGAGGAATTCACTTTGAAACTTATTCGTACCACATGGCTAAAAAATGTAATGCTCCAGATTAAGTTTATTTGCTGAGATCCTTCCACAAAATTATTTTGTTGCTATGCGGTTTTATCAAAAAGTAACATTTTTTATCTAATATTTCGCAAAATATTATTTCCATGTCGAACGTAAAAATATTCAAGGTTATGAAAAATTTACAACACCTGAAAACATGTTTTTTTATAATATCCCCTAATAACACCTTTTTTTTATAAAAAAAATCACAATTTTTCCGATTTATTAAGATATACTTTTATATTCTAAAACTATTTCTTCCCAAATGTAAAAAGCTTGTTTTAAATTATTTTAAATAATAAATTGTTCGAATTTGTTAAATTATTCGAAAGTTTTGTTTAATCTTTTATTAATAAATTTAATAATTTTATTTTTGAAATTATTATTTTTTATTTAAATTATTACTATTATTTTATTAAAATAATTTTCTTAATATTCATCTACAGAACTAATTCATTCACAAATGGTTTTAAAAACACGTCCCTCCCATTTACATTTTGTAAATTCCTAAAATTGTTTCGCATCCCAGGCTCGATATAATAAAATGCTCTAAATCTATCTATATTCGTGATTGAAATTTTTAGAGGTGTTCCATAAACAATCCAGGTTACACTTTCGTAACAAGGAGGAGTGGTTAACGATCCACGATAAGTTATAAAATTATCTTGGAACGATGGAATCAACGCTTCAATCGGAAATGGATTTTCTATGTAAGTAAAAGTCACGTCTTTATCTTGTTGAATTGAAGTAAAGGAAGAGGTTAGAATATCCATTGCCGGATCTATCACTGTAGCTGAATCGACTTCAAAAACGTATGCAACAACAGCCAAACCATCCCGTTTCATTTGAGCGTCCTTCAAGGTATGATATTTTGAGTTATAATATACCGCGTGAAGTTCAATTGAATAAAATCGACCATATAAAGAATGTTCACTTCCGTAGTTATCGTTGTCACTCCAATGAAAATGAAGTTTGTTTAAAATATAAATATCACTGTATAATGGCCCGCCAGTTATGTTTATATTTTCTCCGTTTGGAAAAAATGGTTCAAGATATACTATATAAAGGATTAGATGAGTTTTAATTTAGAATGTTTATTTTCAATTACATATGTATACAGAGAATGTTTCACAAGTAGTGTGCCAAACAAAAATCGAATATATAGTAAAAGTGATTCTAGAGCAAAATGAAAGAATTTCATTTTACTACTACTAATATAGATATAACAGTTTCAAACATCAGAAGGAGAAAGTAGTAAATGTGTCAATAAAACGTTTCATTTGGATATTAAATAATCAATTGATCGAATTTGGTTGGATGGTCACTATCAAACAAATTTATCAAATCGAAATAATCGAATACGAATAAGTGTTCTGCAAGGAAGTCCATTCTTCCATTCTGTTATCTCTTATATGCAGGACGTTATCCTAATTATTGCAGATGACATAGCTATATTTGTAAATGACACAGTTTTAGAAAGTCGAATTTTAAAAAATGGGCCACATAAGATACTAAATACAGCAGTGAATTAGGTATAAAAACCTTATAACAATTGAACTAAAACTAAACCTAATACTATCACTAGAACTAACAGTAGACCTAGAAACTTTCGGGTTAAGCCGTGCGTCTCTTGAAAATGTGTTTACCGTTTTCGAATGTCATGTTACAACCTTCTTCAGAATCAAGTTAGAAGTGTCGAAATCGGTAAGAGTTTGACTAGATATGACATGAAAAAATATATAATAATTAATTAACACTAATTACTGACTAATTGTCAACTGAGTTGTTTTTGTCAAGACCGGGTGGAGAAGGCTTCGTCGAGTTAACTAACATTTCCCATGTGCAGCTAAGTTCCCAGCCTCCTATCGCTTCTCTTGTCATCCGCTGGAAATAAGTTCCGGCTTTAGCTAGCATCCTGATCTTATTGAATTTATGGTGTGTCACTTTTTCAAAATGACGCACGGCTTAACCCGAAAGTTTCTAGTTCTATGTCTACTCTTAGTTCTACTAATAGTGGTTTACAACAATTCTACAACAATTCTACCAAAAGTGACAAAAACCTACCCAACATAAGCAATAACTGCTGTCTTTCAAAAATGTGAGACAGAAAATCGTTAAAGGAATTCCAAAAACAGAATAAAAAATATTAATAATGACAGGATTAAGATAGTTAATTAAGTAAATATGCCCAAAATTTATCAATTATTAAGTTAATTAATAACAGCTTTATTTGTAAATTGGTTGCGAACTCGAATTAGAGTCGTGTATTCATTATTTGACATAACGAATAAAACTTTGAGATTTAATAAAACTATATTTTAAGACAATTTTGAAATAAATTAATCAATTTTTGATTTCAACTGTGAGCAATTTAGATTATATACTATTTTGTTTATTATGTTTTACATCTCATCTCAACCTTTAAAGTTGATTATCTCTACACAATTTAAGTTTGGCAACCTATTTATGAATCATTCTGTACTAGGATGTATCTAAAAAATACAAACAAACTTCAGCAAATGATTTTCCTAATCAGGTAGGTAATCAAAAGTGGTGCAAGAGTTCACTTGTTCATAGTGCTTTTACGTATATCCCATAGAACTTCACCAGCGTATTCTCACGATTAAAACAAACAAGACAGTATTCAAATATAAAAAAATTAAATTAACCGTCAATTTGGAAACCTTTGTGTGCACTGACAAGTTTATAGGATAGGAGCTAGATAGGAGCCATCTAGTTTTAGATGCTCCCTATTACTCAAATGAAGAGTTGTCAGAATCTCTTCATTTAAGTAATAGGAGCCATCTGATAGTTATAGTATGCTAAGTAATTAGTATTCGATAATTATTGAATTATTGTATGAAATTAAATCTCAACACTTTGAAAATATCCGATTTACTGATCTATGTATACCTATACGTTTATTATCTTTGTTGTTTGTTTTCAAATCGCTGAGAACACGTTGGTAAAATTTTACAGTCAGAGAGACTGCTATATTGGTGATATTTAAATACATAATGAAAAATACGTAATTGATTTTTTTTTCATACCTGTGTCTGGAGTTCTTATTACTTTTATTTCGGGTATTTTACATAACGTATCACTTCTAGTTATACAAGGAAAATCCGTTTCATGAAAAGCATTCATACTTCCTAATAGTGGTATTGGCGATTGTACTTTACCGCCGCAATTAGGATAGAAAAAATGCCAAAAGGCAGCACCTATCAGCATTTAAAAATATTCTGAACATATTTAATACGTTGTTTTTTAAAATTTACCTCCGCTTGTATCATAGACACTTCCTTGGACTAAATGACAAAAAATTGGAACTATGAAAAAAAAATTACTAACACAATCGAAAAGTATTCATTAACTTACTTATAACAAGAAGAAATAGATTCTTTGAAAACTTCATTCTCACAGTAGCAATAAAGTACTAATACTGAGATGCTTTATTTATTTTATACGGAGAGTAGTTTAGAAACGTTATCTTGCCTAATTATTTCGATATTAGTGAAAACACTTTCACTGACTTAACTAAACTTGTAATGATTATTAATCTATAGATTAAATCGACATTGTAGCACACGGTAGCAAACATAGTTTGTATCAAATTTGTTTTTCTTTTGATATCATTTCGTGCGGCACACGACGTTAATGCCGGTTATTTGCTAAAATATAGTAGATATTTAACGTCTCATTGAAAGAAAAGGACATATCGCATAAATTATGGTTTGGTACAACCAAATTTGTTTAACAAAAAGATCTCGCTAGATAAGCGTTTAGTTTTATGTGAAATAAATGTTTTTATGGCAGCTGTTAAAATGTCGTAAATATACAGAATTATTCTATTTAATGGTTGTTTTTCGTTAATATATTGTTGAAATTAAAAGATTAATTTTTTTTTGTAAATATGGTACTGATAAACAGTAACAAATGCCAACTTAGATTTTCTATATTACAAACTAATAATAAGAAAAAGTATAAAAATACGTTGAGTTCTCATTAAAATATTTTTGGACGATTTTATAGGATTATAATCGACATTACATTAACATTTCAATCAATTTGATCCTTTCTGAAGCTAATTAATGATTTCCAAAAATTGGAGGATCTTAAAACGATTTTTATATTTAAAAAACATTTTAAACGATTCGAAATATTGTTGTTCATTTGTTTCTGAATGATTCCAGAATGATTTTAGACGATTTTAAACATTTCCCTTTATCCCGTTATTTTAAATGGAAGCTATAGGTTTTGTTACACCTTCTACTTGTATGCAAAATATTTGATGACTGATAAAATTTATTGATGCTTTTTTTGATACCGTGCTCTTTAAAATCCTATTTCTCAGCGTTTCTCAACGTTCACTCACAAAATTTTTAAGTTGGCACTATCACATAGATTGTCATTTGCTGTATGTACAGGCTGGTCCAAAATTGAAGTACCGTTTTTCCACATTCAATGGCAAGAAATTCGAAAATTATAAATGGAACATGGGTCGTTCCATTTTATTACCCTACCAAAAAGAGAATTTAATTCTCTACAAATCATCCATAGACATACCTATGCTTATTTATTGTAGTTTCCCTCATATTGGGAAATTTATCAAAACATGCACGGAAAAAAAAATTTGCTTTTTTTATTAGAAGGTCATGGAATTTTTGACAGTTTTTCATTTATGTTGAAAGAATAAGAAAGTAGTATAAAGAATGTTATGAAAGTGTCGGATGATTGATCCCTACAACCAAAATTTCAAAATTGTCCGATTAAAAACAAATTTCTAACGAACCAGTTACGTGGGACTCGTATATGGATTTATACAGATGCATTTTCGATGTTACATATATTTTAAAGGATTTTTCATTCAAAAATTTATAAACATCTTTCTATTATTTATCATGATATTTAAATAATTTCAATTATGAGGAAATGATCAATAAGTGAATTTATGGTGTTCTCTTCCTTAACAGAACAAATACAGATGCTATGAAAAGGTTCAATGAACGTTTTCCCATCCAGCAAATACGCTTACTACCATGTTAGTAGACAGAGTAATTGGCAACGTGAGCAGGGGTAATTAACTCTTGTCCCTTAATTACATAATTAATTTTAATTAGATGTACAGGCGAGCAGGTTTGTAATGGATCGACCCATACACTCTATAAAGTCTTTTGCGGAAGATCAATACGCCTATGCGGAGTTACACCGTGAAAGCAAACACGTAGGTTAAGTTGCATATACCTTCACTGTACAAAATCATCAACGGAAAAGAATAATACGCCTACTATCAGAACCGTGGAGAGTTGATTCCGTTACGAATAAGCCTTTTACTAACAAAATGTTAATTTCGTATGTACATGCGTGTGCTAATTACATGCAATTAAGGCACACAGTGTGGTAAATAGTCGGGACAAAAAACTATTAATTGAATTCAGCGATTAGACGCTTTTCAGAACGCATTATAACACCCTTGCGTGGGCTTTACCATTTGCTAATTATAGTACATTTTCCTAATCGAGCAAATTGGTATTAGACATGTGAGAAATTTTTTCTAAATGCTTAGCTTATGTAAATATTATCAATACATATATATATTTATGTGTGTTTTTGTTTAAACTCCAACTGATTCCTCATTTAAGTTTTCAGTTTTCAATTTTAATATATTATTATTAATAGCAATTAAAACGTTATTATTATGAAAAAAAAGTGGTCAACATTCCACATTCATGTTGTTTAATTATGTCACATCACATACAAATGATAATTTACAACTTATTGTTCTCACACAAACAAAAATTATCGTTATATGTTGCATTTTAACAACTAAAATGAACAATATTCTTTAATTTTATTGTAAAATAATGTGAAATGTACTCACATTGTGTAGTTTAGTTGTCTCGAATCCCTCAACGTATGGTCCCTGGGCGGCGATGCTCTACTTTCCGGAATTCTTGCTCGCATACTCTGGTTAATTCTCATTTGTCTCGGTTGAAGAGGTGGAGGTACATCTCTCAATGGCCCTTCGGCAATAGAAGCCCTTTGATTCACCATATTTCCAACATGACGTGGCGATTCTTTTAATGGGGAAGTATTTTCCGATACTGTTATGGTCCGTAAAGGTTCAGCTCTATATTCACTAATACCATTTGAAATTTTTTGACTAACCGCTACATTTCCGTTTAATACAAGTTTATGAACTGAAGGATATCTCGTGCTGGATCTTTCGTAATTACGGTGATTCGGAAAACTGAAGACGTGCTGAGAATGATCTTTAGATTTTTTCGAACCTGACGACCAAGGCGTATCGCTAATGGAATGTCTAGTTTCGCTAGTGGAATTATTTTGTGATAACCTGTGTTCGCTTGGAAGATACCGAACCGAAGAATATCTTGGGTTTCCTCGTTCAGGAAGTCCTATAAGTGGCTTTTTCGGTGGTTCCAACAAGCAGAGATCATCGTTTAATAGTTTACTATTATTATTTCTAGACGATTGTACTTGTGGAGCAGGAAATTGTTTAGTGGTCGTTGAATTTTCCATATCACTATTTCTCCAATCAATTTCTGGTGGAGGCGGTGGTAAGGGATCGTCATTTTGAATAACTTCATCTTCCAAGATAGGTGGAGGTGAAGGTGGTGGTAAATCAGGACTTGGAACCCGTTGATCTTGAAACAAATCAGGATACGCTAACCTTAAATGTGGATTTTTCGGTGGTCGTTCCGGTGGTTTTTCAGGTACCCAATCATCCAAACTGATCGAAGGTCCAACAATAACTGGTCCCAACAAATCGGTTGAAAGGCTTCCGCATGAATTACTGTGTTTATGTCTAGCGGTAATTTTTCCTGAAGAGATTTCTTTAGAATCTCTGGAAGCTAAACTTGTTCTTTTCGATGAGCTGTAATCGGAAGCACATGAAGCTCTTCGTGATGGCGTTTGATGCGTTTTTACTCTTGGTGGTGGTTGAGGAGCAACCGTTAAAGCTGGTTGAGCTTGTGCTAATTGTGGTTCTGATCTCCAAGTACTAGTTTTTGACGGCGTGTTATTATGATGCCTTTCGTAGAAGGACAACAGGGCTTTTTTCTGTATGGCCTTCAGCGTCGGGTCAGGAACTTTGTGTTTTTTATTGGGATCTAAGTATGAGTATCTTTGTTGTTTCTCCAGTTCGTTTATTCTGTCGGCTACAGATAATGGAAGAGGCTGAGATAACCTAGAAAAGAATTTAAAAAATATTATTATTATGATGATGAAACGAATTTCATTCAATGTAAATTCTTTACGAATGAATCGTTTAGATTAGAAAGGAAAAATTATCTTGAAATCTATAAAATTGGATGATTGGAGTTAATTTAAATTTTTGCAATAAATAAATTTACTTGGGAAACATTCAGAATTCAATGTAATTCTAAGGAATGTAGAGCATTTTATCACTGATGTGTAAGTTTTGAAAGTGTTATTAATATTTACAATTTCATAACTGGATATTACCTATTCTGAAGTTGACTTGATGCACCATTTGTTGTAGAACTCGCAGTAGATTCGACCCTTTTAGTTTCATCACCCTGCACAGTGTACGTGTTAACAGCAAACAATTTAAGTTTATTATTACTATTATTTCGCTTTTCTTTATCCTTCCATGTAGACTCGTTATCGTTGTTCTTCTGCAGCACCGATTCCGAATAGTGTCTTTGTGGGGTTTGCACTCTCGCACTGTGCGCTATGTGTTGTCTTTGCACCGAGGAACTGGAGGAGGAGTTCACGAGATGCGTACAGGAACTAGCAACCGACACGTCACTCATAGATCCGTGCCACTTTAATGTTTCGCTGGAAGAAGCACTTCCCGAACTGGTGGTCACTACACTGTCTCTACCTTCCCTTCGCGAGGGTTGAAGATGACTTTCTTGGTCTTCTTCCCATCTAGCAGTGGCGACCGCTTCACTGTCTCTCCTTAAACGATCTAAGAACGGTGTAGAAGTCGAGTCTGTCGAAGATACGTAACTGTGGTAGCCTTCGGATTGGGCGTAGGAGAGCTGTTTCTGGTGGAGGTGAGCGAGTACGGTATCGTCGTGTTGTTTGATGTGGAACTCTTCGTAGCTCCTGGCATATTCGATAAAATTCTCCAAACCTTTCATTTCTAATTTTTCGATGGACGTCTCTTGGTAGGATCGCGCGTACTCTTCGAGTTCTTCTTGGGTTAGTTGTGGTTTACTGACATCCCTTTCGGGTGGTGATGGCACCGTATATTCCATATCTCCCAGTGACTTCCCGTCACGATCCACGTGGGGTAAGTACATACAGTCGTTGAGCTTGTCGAAACAACGCGACTCGAACGTCTCCGGCGGGATTTTCTCACATCTTTCAAGTACAGTCTTCAACTTCTATGAAAAGAAAAACAAAAAATAATCGTCAATGCGAGATTACACACGAAATCGCTTAAAGAAAAAGAAAGTTGTTTATTATCGGGTTATTCCAAGAAATCCAATACGCGGTGACTAACGATGCACGAGGTGTATGAATATTAATATAGTCACAAAGGATATTACTATGTACACTCTTTATATACTCGTGTCTCGGAAATGAATCTTCACATAAAAAATTTTCAAAGAAAAGAATAAAAAATATTAAAATCGTACAGTAATTTAGTCGTTAATCTACCAAGTTGAGTCGACTTGAATGTACAGGAAGTTAGTTGGCAACAGTGAACCTGATTAGCTACTGAAGAATGATGATAATCATAGAAAAGAACTGTTTCTGGAGATGATTGCAATCGTATAATAATAGGGATTAACCCGACAAAAGAAATTATTAATGTGAGCAGTTAATCGAACTTTTTCAACTTTCTCAAGGTGGTTATGTATATACGAGGTGGTATGAGCTCAGCAACTATTTCAAAAGGACCTGCTGTTGATTTGTCTATGTATGACTAACGTATGTATGACTAACTCGTTTGTGTATCTTAGTTTTAGAGGTTAATTTACATTCCTATAGGCATTGTAAGATCACCAACTGAACACGTAAGGTTTATTGTCCAATATCATTTAAGTTATTATCTTTCAACTATTATCCTAACATGTGTTGTCATAAAAATTTAAAAAACTCGAAAAAATATGACAAATTGTTGATAAAAATTAAAAAAATAATGTAATAGTTGACAATTTTTAACTTAGATAAGAAAGTAAAATAAGAAATATCCGCAAATATTTTGTTTATTGCCAGAAAAGTTACGAAGAAGAAAAATACAATAATTTAAAAGTTACGATCGTTGATTCTTTTACTTTAATTTTACTTTTTTGTTTTTTTAGTAAATTTTACTTACTTTCAACGATTTTTCATTTTCTATTAGATAAGTGTTAAAATCAACATAAAACCTTTTTTATTTTAATTTAAAGTATGGTAATCAAAAAAGTTTACATTGATTGGGAGAGAGATGTAATTTTTGCATAAATTGGGAAGATTAACCAGATTTGCACAACTGGTTCGTTAGAACTTTTTTAGGTTCCACTATTGGTACAGTTTTAAAATTTTGGTAGCATGGGTTTTTTATTCCGAACTTTCGATCTAAAATATTTTCAAAATGGCTACCACATCCGGTCTACCGAAAGTAGACCATAACTTCGTTATTTTAAATGGAATGCTATAGTTTTTATTACACCTTTTAATTGTACGTGTTAATTAATCATTTATAATATTAATTACTTTTTTGTTTTCATTGTTTCATTTATGTGATCTTCTGTTTGGGGTATTTTTGGTAAATAAAACCTAGTAAACAAAAAGATTATCAATCGTAGTTAATACTACAAATAATAATAGAAATAGATAATAATAGATAATTTGTAGAGAATCAAATTCCCTTTCTGATAGGCTCAAAAAATAAGGGACGTCAAATTTAAAATTTTCTACTTTCTTGCCATTGAATATGGAGAAACAGTAATTCAATTGTTGACCATCCTGTATAAGATACTCTGATACAACAAATGACAAACTATTTGATAGCATCTGAAGAGTAATCGAGCCATTTTGAGATGAAGAGCTGAAGAGCTTTTTTGAATGAACGTTGGCTAGGATATAGGGTTTTAAAGAGCATGGTGAAATTTCCCAAAAAAAAACTTAAAATCAAAATAACTCGAAAATGAAAAACGCTAGGTACCAATAACTTTTATGAAAGTTAACATGTTTTTTTACGTACAATTAAAAGGTACAATAAAAACTACAGCATTCCCTTTAAAATAACGAATTTATGGTCTACTTTCGGTAGACCAAAAGTGGCGGCCATCTTGAAAATATTTTAGATCGAAAGATCCTAATGAACAACCCATGCTACCAAAATTTCAAACCTCTACGAATAGTGGAACTTGAAAAAGTTCTAACGAACCTGTTACGTGAGACACCTGTATATTATTGAAAATTGTACCTGTTGTATATGTGACGAATGTTGTCTTTTCATATATGGTCTCGTATAGGTCACGACCTTTTCCTTGGGGTAGTTGGTATGATCGGTCCATGACTTGGAACGATGCGAACCGCCGCCAGGTGGAGCTTTGGTTGCCTGGGGGGCGTCAGCGGCAGCTGGTACTGGCCACGAAGGAAATTTTTCGTGTCCCGGTCCATATTTAATGGATTTGAGGCTGGAAGCATCGCGCACAGGGGGCGCCGGCGGCGGGCTATCATCGTTTCGTTCAACGATGACCGCCGTTTGTTGATTGCCGACGTTAGCGTTGGTTGATGTTGTTACCCCTTCTCTTATCGGTTGTGGTGGTGTTTGTTGTAAATTCGGTGTCGACCTCGAGGGCATCATTGTGTCCCCAGAATGGACGAAGGTGATCTCTTAAGCCTCGGACGGCCACTTGATAACTTCGAAGCCATTAGTTTAGTTCTTTAACTGAAAAAAAGAAGTTTGCGCAAATATTAAAAATCTGGTAAAAAATAAGATACAGAATAAAGGAGACAGCTACGATGAAATTATTCGATGTTAATTATTCAAGTTAACGGGGCTGTGGAAAAAAACAAGCGTAAAAACAGAATGAATGAATTATGCGTTGATTTTCGGTTTTTTGGGGCCGCATTGGAGGCGTGAGAATCGACCTGGAATTTGAACGAATCGCGGAGGAGAAAAGAGGTGCCTGGAACGTGAGAAGATCTCTTCATTGCTTGACATTAGATCGTCACGCATCTTATGCGTTTTTTTTTAATTATCATGCAAAAACTATTGCACTACGGATTTGAGCAAATAAATTTAAATATTATGAATAAAAGCCGCGATATTAAAATGTTGTTAATAGACTAGGTTAATAATTTTTTACTAGTGTCGTAATAATTACTTAAACGCCTCCAGAATGTTTATAGTCATAATTTTTTTACGGCTTAAAATTGTAGGACATTAATGCTGGTTAAAGATCGGTAATAACAGGCTTCCATATTGTTTCAATGTGATCATGGTGAACGTGTTATGTCATCTCTTAGTAATTACCTTTTTTATGGTTATAATTACATATTACGCAGCCATTTTGAAGAATACATGTTGTTCGTCTTCTTCGAGCAATATCAACTTACTCTCATTTCATAAGAAAATTACCTAACAACGGGAATGGCAGAAGGGTAGCAAGTACGTTGTGTTATACATCATAATAATAATAATAAACGCTTAACGATAATTTTAACACAAAATGTACTAAAACCATTGAATGCAATACATCGATGTACTACGTCAACTTAGTAAAATTTCAATTTCGATTCAATTCGAACGTTTATGGATTCTCGAACAATGGCCTATTACTTAATTCCATTTATATTCAGGAATAGATGTTTGTTGATGAGAGACTGGAATCGATATGGATCCAATCAGAAACCGTTTCAATAACGTTGGTACTGTTAGTGTTGCACTTGAACACACAATGTTATTATAAATTTCTTGACCTTTCAAATGACATCACCCTTCTTGGAACGTTGTAACGGCTCACGGGATTTTGAGCGAAATCCCAAACAATAAAATGCGAACTGTAAACAGGCTAATAACTTCATCGGACATTCGCGCCCACTCTAGACTGCAATCTTTGCGTTCAGTAGGCATAAACTTGCGTATATGGAGCTTATCAGTGGTTCTCAAACGTATTCAGGAATTTAAATTACGTCGAATTGAAGTTAAAATTACACGTCATTTAACAATATTTATTTTTTTTTATTAAAAATTGTTCCTTGACTGAATAAAGAATAATTTAATATGCAAATATTTGAAACTGCTGATCTTAAATCTTAAGGACTCTCGCAATTTATATTTCTAGCTCGTTTTGTTGTCAGCCTTGAAATCGGCCGTTCGAGAAAAGTCGTAAAAATCCGACAACCAACAACGATACATTTCGAATTGTCGGTACTACAATTCCAATCGAGCAACGAGATCTAACGACCATGGCACACACATGACCGCGACTTTTATTGCAACGATTACGGGCGGAAATTTTAATTAGCAGCGCGGCGATACGATAGAACACGGAGCCCGGCATGAAAAGTCACCTATTGTTACCTATTGTTGCGAAACTAAGGAAATATACTGGCCAAACAAGAAACGGCATTATAGCAAGAACGCGATTGTCCCCAAGAAAAAAAACAAGATGAAAACTGTAATAAATTAATGTTGTGGGTAATTTAGTTGATCAACGGGCAAAAGAAAGGATAAAGGTCAACAGTTAGTTTATAGAATGCGGATATAATAACATGTGATATGCTTTACTATATAGTACCTATATACTTACATAGTTGAGACGCAAAGGATATGCAACGTATTAATGACTGAATTCTTTTTAGTTTTAGTTTTCTAAGAATTTCCAAAAATTATACACGAAAATAATGCCATTTCACTACAAATATATGTCATCTAAAGTTTTCATATTGGATATAAGATGGGTATGCCACAAATATAACAACCGGCGCATTTATATGAGCTATTGAGCAAAATGTGTATAGTAGGCATAGATTAGCAACTACATTACCCACAACATTAAACGAGTAAATAAACCGTGCCTTTCATAAAGGTTCCAAACATCTTGTACATTTGCCCTTGTAAGGTCTACACCACTAGGTCTAATGTACAGTGATTCCTAAAACTAACGGATAAATGCGTTAGAACAATTAAAAACGATTTATGGAAAAATCGCTGAGACTAAGGATTTAAATTTATTGGTAAAGATTTAAAAATCTTTCCGCCATTTTTAAACAAGTTATGCCGTCATCGCTATTTTTTTCAAATAGCAATCCTCTATTTTTATTACGGAATATGAATGAGGATTTTTTCTAAATTTGATACAGCCAAAATTAATATTAGCTACATAAGAAAATTTTCGAGAAATATTGCCTTAAAGTTTCATGATTTTCGATTCATTTGAGGTAGAAAAATAGCAGTAGCCATACGTAACCATGGCAACCAGTTGTTTCAGATATTTTATTAAGACAATAATTAATTTTTAATGACTGAAACAGTTGGTTGTCATGGTTACGCATGGCTACTGCTATTTTTTATCTCCATTGAATTGAAAATAATGAAACTTTAAGATAATTTTTCTCGAAAATTTTCTTATGTAACCAATATTAATATTGACTGTACTAGATTCAGAAAAAAGTCCTCTTTCAGATTCTGTAATAGAAATGGGGCATTGCTATATGAAAAAAATATCCATGACGTCATTACTCATTTAAAAATGGCGGAAAAAATTTAAAATCTATACCAAACAATTGCAAAAATCTTTAGACCCGGCTCAGCGATTTTTCCATAAACTGTTTTTAATGGTTTTACTGAATTTATCCGTTACTTTGGGGAACCCTGTATATTTTAATAGTCCTTAAATGAAATGAAATAACTATATTTCACATAATTTAAGGACTATTAAAATAAATAGCTTAACTATTTTAGTAGATGCACGGCAAAATATGGATGGTTCTAGATTTGGTTTTATCTGTAGACACTGCTTATGAAAACCTACGAATGTTTACTTCCAATTTCCATGGTGACGATACATTTAATCCTATCACGGATTTGAACAATGTGGAGTTTAACAACCTCGACTCAACTGGAGCCCGTAAAACCTTCATCAAGACAGTACAAACTGATAACAGGCATTGCTGAAACAAAGTTGATAGAATAATCATGAAAAAGAATTCCAGAAGTGCCGGAAAAGAAAAGCCAAAAGATTGGAGTCATAGAACGTCAAAGTGGGAGGAGGATCTTTTACAGTGATATTCATGGTCATCAACAAATCCAAAATTCTATAGTAATTCGCTAGATGCTGTGGCAAAAACTTAATCGAAGTCCAACTTCACAGTTGACGAGAACAACTTAAACGCACTAGTCCAGATAGAGGGTCCAGATTTCCTACTAGATAACGTCCCTTACAGGAATCGTCGACTCATACATTAGATATTCAACACATTTTATAGAAGCAATTAACAATATTTCTCTATATTCACATACATAGTCAACTTCGATCTGGGCATCCTATGGGCTAAGAAGGAAAACAAGCAGATATAATAGATTGTTCCAACAGCACGTTTTTGATCAGCTCATGTATGATCATTCATGTACGCGTTCATAAGCGGAATGTATAAAATTGTCAACGGTATTGGAACGAATTGTGTCTTTTAAGGATTATTGTCTGATCCTGAAACTTGACATAACCTAAACAAACACATCGCTCCTTGTTGAACAGTTGATTGATTCCTGATTTGATGTTTTAACAACGCATGCTTCTGACCGTCAATTGAAACTCAAAAATATGACTAGAATAAAGCTAACAGAGACGGTAAGTAGTCAACCAGTCAGCTTCATCCGTTTTTAGCGATAGAAACTTATCGCCACAAAAACATCATCAAAGAAGAGGATAATAGGCTCAATTGAACCTGCGAACCATTGCATAGCAGATCTGACAATTAGCAAATAGTAGTTAATTCATTAACTCTAATTATTTACTAAGTATACATGCAGTGGCGGCGCTACGTACAGGCGAAGAGGCAGCCGCCTGTAGCGGCCAAAATTAGGGGCGGCAGAAACCACGTTCCTCTCAGGCATAAAGAACTGCTATTAATCACGACTATCAGAAGTTATTCTTACACTAACTAAATTAGTGTAAGAAACTCTTTGAATGTAACTCTTTGAAAAAAATAACCGAGTGTTTTTTCGTCTAAAGAGACACAAGTTCATTGCCTTAGTAAAGACATACAAAATGAATTAATAGGTTTATTGGCGGAAATGACTAAAAAGAAAATTATAGAAATGGCAAAAAAGCTAAATTTTTTTCTGTAACCATGGAAACAAGTCCCGATATCAGCCACAAAGAATAACTTACATTAATAAGAAGAAAATGTTCTTCCAATTGATTTTATTGAAGGAATTGACACTACAGGAGTCGGTCTGGCATTTCTATTTTTAGACACAATGAAAGTACTAGTTTTAGACATTTACAACTGTAGAGGATAGGGCTACGACAATGGAGCCAATATAAAAGGTACGAATAACGGGCTACAAAAACATATTTCAAATATAAATGCGAGAGCGTTATTTGTTCCTTGCTCCTGTCGCTCTATTAATCTTGTTTTAAATGATGCTGCAGAATCAAATATAGAAATGATCAATTTTTTTTGAATAATACAAAGCTTGTATAATTTTTCTTCTGCTTCACTTATAGATGGTCTATTCTTGTCAAACATCTGACCAATTTAACATTACAACCTGTATGTTCTACGAGATCGGAAAGTAGGATAAATGCGATCAGGCCCGTTAGATTTTTGTCCCGTCACTTTTTGGTATTGTATTAGAGAAGTCAAATTCTTCTGCTACAAACCCCAAAGTGCACGATTTGTGCAGCAGTTGAAACAATTGAACAGGTTGCAAATAAA